TTTTTAATTTTGCTGCCTCTCTTAACTGGCCAGGCTTTTCCATTAAAATTTGGAGGTGAAGCAGGGTGTACAAAATGTTTAGCAGCTGAGAATGTAGTCTTTTGAGTTCTGGTCAGTTTTTAATAAGGATTTGATTAAGAAAAGCTCAAGTGTCAGGTTTTCTGAGTCAAAGAGGAAGTTAATGGGTCCCGTGTTTCTAGAAGGTGGTGACACTTGAGACAGGACAGACCCTCTCGGGTGACTCGGGAGCCGGGTGTGGCCCACCCTCCTGCGGGGATCTTGTTCTCCCTGCGTCGGACAGCCTGGGAAAACCCTGTTTCCCAGCTCTTAAGTGTCCATTTTCTGTGTAATGTGGCTGTTTAGTCAGAAATCCTCTGTTTCATTTGGGACTGTGTTTCTCAGCAATCAAAACGGCTTCCAAAGTGTGAAGATATTTAAGTATTTTTTCATTAACGCAAGTGACTTACCGTTTTGTGAGTTCTTTATGTTTACAGATTGATCATCATTTGAAGTGGAAAATTTTGTGTCCTCATGCCTATAGAAGAGGTAGGATGGACCACCAAAACCTAAACCAAACCCCGTGCCGTGGAGTCGATTCTGATCACGGTGCCCCAGAGGGTGGAGGAACTGCCACAGGGCTTCCAAGGCTGTGATCTTTAGTTGACAGGGTGGCTTCAACTTTCTCCTGCAGAGTGGCTGGTGGGGTCGAGCCGCTGACCTCTTGGTTAGCAGCCGAATGCTTTAATCATGGTGCCACCAGAGCTCCTTGGGTGGACCAGGGAGAGTATCCCACCAGCCTGCTGGTTAGCAGTCAGGTGCCATGGGCACTGCGCCACTAGAGTTCCTGTAAAATAGACATTGGGTTACAGAGAGATCTGGGAAGAGGCTCCTGGGTGGTCAGAGTATCCCTGTCATTTGAGTTTGGTCTTTGTAGTTCACATTGTGCTCATGATGGTGGACAAGGAACCTTTAAACCTTCCGTAAATTCACTTCTCTGAGGGAGGCCGGAGCGTCCTGGGATGCTGGGCTCCCCGAAATCACTTGTTAGGTGACTCTCTGATGACCGCAGGCGCCCTTCCCTGGAGCATTGAGCTGCACCCCAGGCACCTTGTGCACCCTCTGGGAGGTCGGCTTGCACCCCGTTTGCTGACTCGGGCTGCTGGGAGGCCGATGCTCGGAGCCTGCTCTGACCCTCCCTGGTTAGGGGCCGGTGAGCGTGCGCCCCTGTGTTCCGTGGAGTGCAAACATCGAGCTTGTCTGTGGCTCTTGGAGGTGTTCCCTCCTTTTCCCAGAAGGAGAACTTCTTTGCCTCCCATGGTCCAAAGCTGGGCTCTTGCTTTTCATTGCCTGTGCCCGGGGGACGGAATCCTCCTGGCCGGTCCCTGCTGCTTCCTGCCCCAGACTTCCTCCTCGCTGCTCAGCCGTGGGGCGTCCCTTCGTCTCCTGCTTTGAGAACCAGCCGTCCGCTGGTGTCCAGGACCCTCCAGGCTTGAGTGTCTGGCCTGGGACTCTATCCCCAGACACCGTCACCATTTTCCTTTTCTTAATTCCTTGCATTTCACAGTCTTCGTCGCACCTAAGTTTCCACTAACTCTTGATGCCTGATCGCTCTTGCTTGTCTCAAAGTCTGAAAACATCGCACCTTTATTCTCCTCCAGTATCCTTTCTGCTTACCAGTTGTCCCTTCTTAGATGGGTTGAAAATGATGAAAGACGAGCCTTCCAAGTACACTGCTTAAACACAGACGTTCTCACACTGCGTGTTTGGCAACCAGTAATGTTTGTTACCAGAGTTGCTAGAAGTTCGCAGATTGACTCCTGGGGTCCTGACAGCGTTTTCCCCATAGTAGCTCGTCTTCAGGCTTCCAGCGGTAACTGTCGGATCCCTTATCCTTGGAGGAGAGCTGCCGTGGACTCGGGAAGGCCTTGGGTGTAATTTGGGTATAGGCCTTGCCCTTGTGGATCCCAGGGACCTTTTCAGTCATCCCTTGGCCCTCTGTCCACTTCTGTGGGATCCGTTTTGTAGATCTTTCTGTTTCAATAAAAAGGGACAACTAGAATCCACTCCTTGGAAGGAAGATGGGGCAATCTGCTTACTTAGTGATACTGCCTTAGAAACCCAAGGAGGGGTCGCTATGAGTCGGGTCCGACTTGACGGCACATAACAACAGCAACAACAGAAGAGGTGGGGGCAGGAAGCCCATCTTGAAATAACAGCTGCTGAGATTGGGAAGCCCATTACCTGGGTGTGCAGTTCATTGACACCCCAGAGAATATCACCATTTGGATCTTCCCCACAAATGCTTCGTCCAGGTTTTAATGAGAAGGGTAGGGCAGTGAATTGAATGTCACACTGTAGCTTGTGCACAGGTGGCCACTGGGTCGGGAGGGGTCATTACTTCCTGCTTTTCTGTGTGGCTCCACCTGGCTTCTGTGGGCAGGAGGCACCTGGCTTCTGTGGGCAGGAGGCACCTGGCTTCTGTGGGCAGGAGGCACCTGGCTTCTGTGGGCAGGAGGCACCTGGCTTCTGTGGGCAGAAGGCTGGTCCTTTGCCGTGGGGGAGAAGTGGGCGGAACTTCAATCTCACATTCCCTGATGGCGGCGGCCCCTGGGTGACAGGCGGGGGGTCTTGCCCTGTGAGCAGTTGGCACAGTGTGCTGTGTGGTGGTGGTGGCTGCCACAAGTCGAACCGTGACTCAGGCACAGTGACGCAGACCAGTGCAAGCCGATAGGTTTTTCACGGCTTTTTTTCCTGGTCTGTCTCAGTCTGGAAGCTTTGCTGATACATGTTCAGCTTCTAGCAACACACATGCCCCACCGACTGACGGGTAGTGGCTGTGCGTGAGGGACGCTGCCCGGGAGCTGAACCGGGGTCCCCACGATGAACCCGCCGCAGCTCTCTTGGTAGATAACTCTCGATGTGCTCATGTGAGTGTTACTTTCAGTCATGTGTCCTTACTGTGCGTGTCCACCTTGTTTTGGAGTAGGTCCTGTTTGCAGAATCCTGTAACCTCAGAGCCCCTGCCCCGACTTCATGTGAAAATTGGGGACATTGGCCAGAGGCACAAAGCTCAGGGTCTCTGCCGGGTCCAGTGCCACCGCCTCTCCCGACCTGACCCTGTGACTTATGTTTTATGAGAAGACGTTTTTCCCGTGGGTCGTGCTCCTCCAGCGGTTCTGACCAGGGGTCACTTGGGGAGGAGGGGTGGTCCCAGCTCGGCCATGCCGGCCTGTGCTCCTGTCGGTGTCACTCCCTGCAGAGGCGTGGTGTCTCGGGTGTGGTGCCTCTGTGTTAGCTGGGACGCAGATCAACTCCTGCTTCTCCTTCCCGATTCAGACCACGTTGAGACTTACATCACAAACCACTTTTCAGAAATGTTATTGTGGTAAATGATGTTTGACAAAAAAAACTTTGCTATTTTAACCATTTTTAAGTGAACACTTAGCAACGTCCTTCCGTTTACCTTGTGGTGCAGCTGTCACCGCTGTTCTATTTCTAGGTGCTTTTCATCCCCCAAACACAAGCACTACACCCCTCCAGCAATACCTCCCCAATTCCCAACCCCTCCAAACTAAAGAAACCAAACCCACTGCTGTGGAGTCCATTCCGACCCACAGTGCCCCTAGAGGACAGAGTGGAACTGCCCCCAGGGTCTCCAAGGCTGTCAGTCTTCATGGAAGCAAAGCCCAAACCACACCCACTGCCCTGGAGTGGATTCCCACTAACAGCGCCCCCAGAGGACAGAGTGGAACTGCCCCCCCAAAAAACCAAACTCACTGCAGTGGAGTGGGATCCAACTCATAGCAGCCCCTCCTTGGGTGTCAGAGGTGGTATCACTATGGAAGTAGATTGCCCCACCTTCCTTCTGAGGAGTGGCTGGTGGGTTTGAACCGCCAGCCTTCTGGTGAGCAGTCAGGTGCCTTAGGCACTACATCACTGGAGCTCCCAGAGCTGCCCCCCTGGTCTCCAAGTTTCTGGAAGATGAGCCTGGACTTTGGATCCTGGGAAAAGGTGGCTTCGTTACAGGCTGAGATGGGCTTAGTTAAAGTTAGGCCCGGGTCCAGCCACCTGGGGACACACGGTGAGGGCTTTTGGGCAGAGAAGCCATTTGCCGGTCCTGTCCCTGCTGGTTACCAGCTGTGTGACCTGGGCCGGATGCTTGCCCTCTCTGAGGTTCTTGCCTTGAAATGATCAGGATGGTTAGAGGTCTTGATCATGTTTGGCAGTCCTTGAAAATTGTACCAACCCTGGGCTGTTTGAAAGAGTCAAGTTCTCCTGGCTTTGACTGCATCACCCGTTGTTAATTGGTAGCAGGGCCATCACAGTATCTACTACACCTGCAACTATTTCTTCTGTACTGTTTTGTGGGTCATTTAATCAGTGGAGGAAAGAAACCTCACCCGGACATCCTCATAGGGCCCCGAAGTCTGGTTTGCCCTTAGTGGGGTGCAGGAAAGGGTTCTCTTCTGGAAGATGAGGGGCTCACATGTCTGTCGGTGCAGTGGGGCTGCCCCTCGGGCACGCGTCCCTCTACCTGGAACCCCTGGGTGCCGGGGGTTAATGCGCTTGCCTGCTGACTGAAAGGTGGCCGGTTCTCATCTGCCCAGAGGTGCCTCAGGAGGACGGCCCCGCAGTCTGCTTCCAGAGCTTAAGTCCTTGAAAGTTGCGCAGCTCTGGCTGGTGCCCTGGAGTCAGCGTGAGCTGTGGGTGACTCGGGGCCACCAGCCTTCATTCTGCTAATGCGCTTGGTCTCCGTGTCCTCTGAGGTGGTAACTTTTCCTCTCCCTTCACATTTTCCAGGGCGACCGTCTTACCGCTGCGGCTCTCCCGAGGAAGCTGCGCTGTCTGTGCTGGTCAGCGGAGACCCGAGCCACGTGTGCGGGGACAAGGCGCCACGCCAAGGCACAGGCGCAGCCAAGACCGGGCTCCCGGCTCCAGCCGGCTTCCTTGAAAACAGTAGTGGAGATACTTCCAGAAGACTCGAGCCGCGCAGACGTGCCCTTGACCTGAAAATGCCAGCATTCCACCCCAAGCCCGAGGGTCCGGGTGACGCTGCAGGGCGCCCCGGCACCGTCGAGTGCCCTGGTGGCGTGGCCGCGCCCCTCCCCGCTGACAGGCCGCCTGCGGACTCGCTGGGCAGGGAGACCCCGGGGGGCGCGCTGCGGGCCCCCGAGCCGATGCCTCTGGACCTGAGCACGCGGTCCTCGCGGGGCACGGGCGGCAGGGAGGCGGCGTGCGCGCTGCAGGCGGCACTGCCGGTGCACCCCTGCCCGTACTGCAGCCACCGGACCTACTACCCCGAGGTCCTCTGGATGCACAAGCGGATCTGGCACCGAGTCAGCGGCAGCGCTGTGGCGCCCCCCTGGGTGCAGCCCAATGGCTACAGGAGCGTCAAGAACCACCTGGTGTTTCTGGCTCGCAGTGGCCGCACCGGCCCACCACCTGCACTGGGCGGCAAGGAGTGCCAGCCACTGCCTGTCGCCCGCTTCGCCCGCACGCAGGGGCCGGGTGGGGGGCTGGCCCCCAAGGGTAGCTCCTCGCCACTGCTGGGTGTGACCACAAAGGCCTCTGGGCCGAGCAGAGGCAAGCAGGGCCCCCCGGGGACTCCCTGCGAGCCATGGGTGCCTGGCCCTGACGGGCACCGCCAGGCCCGGGCTGGCCCTCCTCCTGGCCAGAGCTCACCCACTGCCCCCCAGGTGCGGCCCAAGCCGGAACCCGGTTCCCAGCCCAGCCCCGGCAGCTTCAGCAGGAATGCGCCCCCCACGCTCTCTGTCATTGCTCGGGCTGGGCCCCCGGCCCCCAGCAAGCCGGGTGAGAAGCAGGGGGTGTCCCTCGCAGGGCCCAGCCTGGCTCCCCTGCCCAAGCACAGTGCCCCGGACTCAGCGAAAGCCAAATTCAGCCCCCCGCCATGCCAGCCTCCTGGGAAAGGCGACGGGGCCCCTGCTCTACCTCCCCGTGAGACCCTCTCCAAGGCCACTCCTGAGCCCAGGACTCTGGGTGGCGGTGGTGCCGTGGCTCGGGGCAGTGCGGCCGTGCAGGCTCAGCCCTCGGTGGCCGGCGCGTCCCCAGAGCCGCGCTCACTCAAGCAGGAACCAGCTGCTGAGGGCAGTGAGAAGCGGTTGGATATCCTTAGCATCTTCAAGACGTACATTCCAAAGGACCTGGCCACCCTCTACCAGAGCTGGGGCACCAGCGGCCCTGCCCTGGAGCACCGAGGTGAGACCGCCCTCCCCAGCAGTGGCCTGAGAGCCACCAGAGTACCTGGGATGGCCTGTCCCCTGGCACAGCTCAGTCTCTCTCTGGCCCTGGGTGGTGGGTGCACATGGCCCCAGGCCCCTAGTTCTGCTTGCTTGAGTTTGTTCTGGTGGGGATATGTACAACCAAACATGCACGCATTCAGCCGTTTTCCTGCATGCAGTCCACTGCAGGGGTGAGGCTTCACTCTGCCGCTGGTGGTCTTCTCTCTGCCCACGCTGGTTCTGCACTCGTAACTCAGGCTCCCTGCTCCTTATGGTCCCGTCTGTGCTTGGGAGTCACTGCTGTTCATTAAACCTCATAGAGTTAACTGGAACTCAAGAACACTCTCACCCAAATGAGCTGAATTGTTGCTGAGTTTAAGATGACTTTTGAGGTAGTTTTGATTCAAGGCTTAAAAGTTGTTTCTGAGCAGTAGATGTAGGCATTCTTCAGTCTCAGTGTAGTTGTAGTTGGTAAGTCTGGTTCCCAAGAAGAATTTGAAACTTGACAGGCTCAGGTGGGCTGCATTCCACCACCTTTGTCATTTTGAACAAAGACTCAGGAAGTTCCTGGTTCTCCAAGCACCCTCACCTGAAGGGAGGATGTCGGGCATTGTTTTTGCATACATAGTTTTGTCAAGATTACATAGTGAGGACCCCAGCATTGGTGAGCAGAGCCAGTCAGAGCCTGGTGTCTCCTGTGAAGTCCAGGAGTTGCTCTGGGCTCCCAGTTTAGAGGAAGAGCTCCTTAGGGAGGCTGTCCCGCTTTCCTCAAGCATCGCAGGACCACTGTCTGCTGAGCAGCTGTCATCAGGAACTGTTGGCAGTAGCTTCTCGCATGTCCCACTGGGCACATGTGTTGGAGACTGCCTGGTTCTGAATATCAATTGAAGGTCTCTGTCACTTGCCACCTACTTCTCTGGGAACCTGAGTTATTTTTTGGTAAAAGGCAAACAAGCCTACTGTGGTTCTCTCTCACTGGTCAGGGGGGTGGCTCTGGCCTGTGGCTCTCAGTGGTCAATGGCCCTGGTGTGTGGCTCTCACTGTTCACTGGGGTGGCCCTGGCCTGTGGCTCTCACTGGTCACTAGGGTGGCCCTGGCCTGTGTCTCTCACTGTTCACTGGGGTAGCCCTGGATCTTCTGTGGGAGGACTTGCCATCAGGAACCCGCCCCTTCTGATGGCAGGCTGCCATTTAAGGTGACCCCTGGATCTGGGGCCTGACATTCCAGGATGCTAGGAACCCTGAGAGGGCAGTGGTTAGGGGTGGAGATGCTGACAGGCACTGGGAGGCCCCACTTCGGGACTTCTGAGTGGCTGTGAACTTTGGGGACCACGTGGGGTCTCTCATCAGGGATCTTGTTGGACACGTGACTCTGGACTTTGCCTGCACCCACAGCCAATGGGGCTGCCTTGGTGAGTAGGCGAAGTGATGTCTTAGCTTAACGCACACCCTACAGAGACACCGAGAGGATTTCCCACGAAGGCCACGGTGCTCATTTTCTGTGGGCTTCCACGTTTTCCTATGAAGCCTGCCCTCATGGCTGTGGCTCGTTTTGGGGGGCTTGCTGTCCCGTGACGCTTGCTCTCAGCAGCACTTCTTGTGAGCTGTTCAGAGTGGAGCACTGTGGCCTGTGGGGTGAACGTGAGCAGAGGTCCCGCACTCTGGTCATCCTGACACCTCTCCGTGCTCTGAGCAGATGTGCTCCGTGCTCGAGGTGTGATCTGGGAGACGCAGGTGTCGGGAGGCTGGACCTTGTGAGCCACATAGCTGAGGGTCCACACTTTCAGATGTCATTAGCATGAGCGAACTTTACACTTGGCCATAGTTTTCCGTCATGCGAGCCTTGGGCCATCAGACTGAATAGAAATAATATCGGTGACCGTTTGGTGCTGATCGCAGGTCTGAGGTGTTGTGTCAGACCCCAAGACAGGCGTGTTGGGGTTATGAAGCCATGTTGAGGTTTGTGACCTCAGGTCTCCCTGGTGGCCCCTTGCCCCTGCTTCAGACCCTGGTGAGCGTGCACCCTGTGGAGACACTTGTCTAAAGGCTTCACAGCTTCTGTTTAGCAAACCCAGCTGGCCATTTAGCCCCCCACTCTCTATTGGGCAGTTCACACCTGCTAAGGGTGTTGGAACACGTTTGACAGCATTGGGTTTGTGGTGTTTTTGTTTCATTTGAGGAGCCCTGGTGGCTCACTGGTTAAGCGCTTGGCTGCCAAATGAAAGGTCAGCGGCTCAAATCCA